AGCCATTAGCAAGCAAAGCTAATCTGTACAGAAGCAAGATGTCTGCAATTAGCTTGTAGCCACACTCACTCCATTTTGATTTTGATTCTACAGTACTGATTGCAGCTTCCTGCTGATGCATGGCCCTGGGGGTGCCGGTGATGGCTCAAGTAATTGGGTGGCTGCCACGCTTGTGTTTCTGGTTCCTCGCTTCAGCCTGACACAGTCCTTTGTGCATTTGGGCAATGAACTAGTGATGGGAGATCTTTCTGTTGTCTGTCTTTCAAGTAAATTTAAAAATTGGGGTCGGTGTTGTGGCGCAGTGGGTTAAGCTGCTGCCTTTGATGCCAGCAATCCTGTGAGTGCCGGTTCCAGTCCTGGATTCCCATCCTGCTCCCAGCTAATGTGCTTGGGAAAGCAGCAGAGGGCTGGCCCAAGTACTTGGCTTTTGCACCCACGTGGGAGATCAGGATGGAGTTCCAGGGTCCTGGCTTCGGCCTGGTCCAGCCCCAGCTGTTGGGACCATTTCAGGTATGAACCAGTGGATGGGAGATCTGTCTGTCTGTCCGTCTACCTCTCTCAGTAACTCTACTTTTCAAATAAAATAAATATAAATATATTTTTTTTAAAAAAGCAAAAAAAAAAAAAAGAGAGAGACTGATTTCAGACTATTGTTGCTTAGCAGTTTTTTTACTTGAAAAAAATATAGAAACATTCAAACCTTTTGCTCTGGTGTTTCATCTATATCTTAGCAGGCTTTTTTTCCCCTGTAAAAAATGACGTATATTTACAGCTTGTACAGCCATCACCACAATCAGCGTCAGAACATCTTACCCGCAAAGCCAGGATATACCTGGGAGCAGTCACTCTCCCAACCCCCCTTCACTGCAGCCCTGAACAACCCGACTTTTTCTGTGTTCATAGACAGGCCTGTTCTGGAGGTTGCATCTACATACATGATCTTTCATGAGGTTTCTTTCATGTCAAATTGTTTTTAAGGTTCATGCATGCCAAAGCACGTATCCATACTTCTTTCCTTTTCATGGCCACATGGATCCCATTATTCTGGATGGATCACACTAGGTCCCATTATTCTGGGTGGATCACACTAGGTCCCATTATTCTGGATGGATCACACTAGGTCCCATTATTCTGGGTGGATCACACTAGATCCCTTTATTCTGGGTGGAAAACACTAGATCCTATTATTACTGGATGGATCACACTAGATCCCATTATTCTGGGTGGATCACACTAGATCCCTTTATTCTGGATGGATCACACTTGGTTTACACTTTCATCAGTTGATGGGCATTTGGGTCGCTTCCTCCCTTTGGCTCTGGAGAGTAGAGTTGCTCTGATGATTTACGAACAAGTATTTGTGTGAACACTTTCAGTCGTTTTGGAATTGCCGAGTCATGTGATCACTCTGGATTAATTGCCAGAACGTTTGTTTGCAAAAGTGGCTATGCCACTCTACATTCCCACCAGCAGCCTTAAGGGGACCCAGTTACTCTACGTCCATGCCAAAACTTTTCTTTTTGATTGTTTTGATTTGCATTTCTCCATGACTAATGATGTTAAGCATCCTTCCATGTGTATGTTGATCAATTATGTCTTTGGAGAAATGTTGATAGTGTTGAGATCCTTTACCCATTTTTTTCCCTTTGGGTTAACTTTGTTCTTGATTTGTGAAAGTTATTTGTATATTATGGATGCAGTTTCCTTCTCAGATGTGTAATTCACAAATATTTTCTTCCTTTCTCTTGGTTATCTTGTAGTACTTTCCTGATGATGTACTTTAAAGCCCAAGTTTTTACTTTTGATGAAGTCTAGCTTACCTTTTTTCCCCCACTTGTCCTTTGGTGAGAAGCCTTTGCCTAACCCAAGGTCTCAAAGTTTTACTTCTGTGTTTTCTGCTGGGAGTTCTATAGTTTTAGCTATCACACCTTGTCCTTGGATTCATCTTGAGTAAACTTTTGCGCATGACGTGAGGAAAGGCTCAGATTTCATTCTTTTGCATCCATCACCACTTGTGGACGAGATTGTTCTTTTTCCGTTGAATTGTCTTTGCACTCTTGTTGAAAAGCAATAGACCATAAAAGAGAAGGTTTTTCTATTGACCTAGTAGTTCATCCTTATGCCAGTTTCAGACCATTTTGATCACTGTAGCTTTGTAGTAAGTTTTGAAATCATGAAGCATAATCTTGTTCTCCTTTAAGATTGCTATTCTGGGTCTCTCACATTTCCACCTGAGCTTTAGGAGTAGCGTGCCACATTCTACATCAAAAGCGGCAGGAATTTTTTTTTTTTTAAGATTTATTTATTTGTTTGGAAGTCAGAGTTACACAGAGAGAGGAAAGGCAGAGAGAAAGAGAGAGAGAAAGAGAGAGGTCTTCTCTATCTGTTGGTTCACTCCCCAATTGGCCACAGTGGCTGGAGCTGTGCTGATCCGCAGCCAGGAGCCAGGAGCTTCTTTCCGGGTCTCCCACATGGGTGCAGGGGCCCAAGGACTTGGACCATCCTCCACTGCTTTCCCAGGCCACAGCTGAGAGCTGGATGGGAAGTGGAGTAGCCGGGACTAGAACCGGTGTCCATATGGGATGCTGGCACTTCAGGCCAGGGTGTTAACCAGCTGAGCCACAGCGCCAGCCCTAAAAGCGGCGGGAATTTTGATACGAACGGCATTGAATCTGTAGCACAACCTGGAGAGTATTCCTATCCTAATAATATTAAGACCTGTGATCCAGAATATTGTTTCAGTTATTTAATCTTCTTAATTTATTTCAACAACTGTTTTTAGTGTTCAGACTATAAATTATATACTTCCTAAATTTATTACTAAGTATTTTCTTCTTTCAGATGCTTGTTTGTAAATGGACTTGTTCACCTAATACAATTTTCACACTGTTCATTTTTCTGCAAATAGTCACACCATCTGTAAATACTTACATGACATTCCACTGTAGACACCAAAACTAGCATTCCTAACTGGTAAGGACTTGTTCCGTTCTTTCCTATTGCCCCATGCTGCTACTGAGCCCATGACAATGAGCAAGAAGCCCCTGCTCTGATCTACTACACAGGTCAAGTTCAGGTTCCTTTTCACAGCTGACCTTGAATCAGGACTCAAAGAAGTAGCATCTACTGTCAGTCCTCAGTGACTGGTTCTCTTCACTCCTGCTTCATCTCACGTGAAGAAATGAAGCATTAAGTTATTTTCTCCTGCAGTATGGGCCAGGGGTCTACACAAGCGTGTGGTGCTGTTGCTGGCTCCCCAAGCACCTGCTGGGGAGAAATCAGCCTCACTGAAGGCACTGGACAGCCACTATTGGGATCGCTGAAGGCACTGGACAGGCACTGTTGGGATCGCTCCTCCTCCCATAACGCTTGATTGTTGCAGCGACAGACGGGGCTCATGGTTCTCTTGCCTCTTTTAATGGGGGGGAGGTTCTCACTCAGGGCCTCTCATTCTCTCGCTTTCCATCATTGCCCTCTGACCCAGATCCGCTCTTGTTTCCTCTTTCCTTCATTTGTGTGGATCTGGAAGTGAAACACGAGTGTGCAGTTAGGGCCAAAACAAGGCTACAGGTGGAAGATTTCTTCTGAGTTCTGTTTGTTCTTTGCACCAGCAGCCCTTTGTTCTGATGGAATGTGTGTGCTTTTGATCACCATGCTTGTGGCTCATGCCTACTTTGTATTGTCCTGGAGTTGGGTGGGGGTGGGGGGGCATCCAAAGTATTTCCTGACCCAGGAAACTAAGCAAGTTGTTTGTTGAACGATTTGAGCTGGACACATCCCTCGGGGCCCCTGGGTGCTACCGCCGACTGAGCTGAGCCCTGAGTGGCAGAAGAGAGAAGCACTGACCGAGAGGCTGGGAGGGAGACGGCCTGGGGAGGGCTGCTGGCTTCAGACAACTGTGATCCTAAATTCCTCCCTGAGGAGTTCAGAGGAAGCCTGTCAATCAAAACCTGGTGTGGACGGTCTGGGTTAAATATGCAGAATGGGAGTTTGAGGACAAAGGGGCAATTTTTTTTTTGGAGACACAATTTTTTATTGAGGTGAGAATTTTCATACAGTGGATCGTGCAGATAGAGAGCACACAATGTAATGAGTTTTAGTGGATGTCCACATCAAATAACCACACCCAGTCAAGAGTTGGGACATTTCAAAGGGCTACACTTGAGAAGGAGGGCCCTCCTGGGCTTGCATAAGTCCCTGATTCCCTCCCAGCCCAGCCCAGCCCAGCCCAACCCAGGCTTTGGTAAGGAATGAAGCCTTGTAACAGATCTGAATCCGGTGCCTATTAATGCCATTAACCTGGTAATAATTGCCCAAAATGGGCATATTCTGAGATATTGTGGGTTTGGTTCCAGACCACTGCAACACAAGTAGCGCCATAAAGTGGGTCACACATGTTTTTGGTTTCCCAGTGTGTAGAAGAGTATATTAATGCTATACGTCTATTAAGTATATGATGGCAGGATGCCTGAAGAATGTTACATGTCTTAATTTTAGTTCCAGCTATTGGTGAAAAATGCCAGTGCTGTCGGGAACCCGGTGCTGGCAGACCTGGGTCCGGGCAGGGTTGCCACAAAGCCTCGATTTGTAAGACATGGCATCTCGGAAGTTCGGTGAAGTGAGATGCAGAAGCTGAGGGGAAATGGATTTAAAAGGTGCATTTATTCTGATGCAAAACATTTTGAAATCCATGTATATAAGGGGTCTTCAGAAAGTTCATGGAAAATGCATAGTGTGGGAAAAAAAACTATGCACAGATTTCAAAACTTTTTAGAACAAAATACTTCTTTTCTAAAAGATGTGTTTCAGTGTTTGAAAGGCAGAGAGGGAGAATGACACTGATTGAGAGAGGTTCACTCCCCAGATGGCCACAGGGGCCTGGGTCAGGCCAAAGCCAGGAGCCCAGGATTCTGTCTGGATCTCCCACTTGGGTGCAGGGGCTCAAGTCCTTGGGCCGTCTTCTGCTGCTTTCCCAGGTGTGACAGACAGCAGGGAGCTGTGTTGGCAGCAGAGTGGCTAGGACTGGAACTGGGGCTCTGATATGGGATGCTGGTGTTACAGGTGGCAGCTTATCCCCGTGCACAACCCTGGTCCCTAAACTTGTCTTTTAATTCCTTTTTTCCATTAACTTTATTTTTCAGTTTATGTATTTGAAACGCAGAGAGAGACACAGAGATGGGGGGTGGGGTGGGATAGGAGACTGGGTTAGGAGAGATCACCTATTTGTTGATTTTCTCCCCGGTGCCTTCAAGACCTGGGGCTGGGCCAGGGTTAGGTCCGGAGCCAGGAACTCCATCTGCGTCTCATGGGGTCAAACCAGCTGCAGAAGCTCCAGCATTTACACTTTCTGTAAGCCTAACTTCTCAGACTTTCTTCTGAAATATTTGGGGCAGAGAAAAGGAAATGCGTACCCTGGAAGTTGGGCTGTTACGAGTGTGGCTTGTACTGGGAAATTTCTTCTTTCAAAATTAATGCAGAATTTGTTTTTGGCTCCAAATGTGCTTGTGTTCATTCTCTTATAAAACATGCTTGATATAAAATACTCCCCCCCAACCCTGCCCCATTTCCCAAGTAAAAGGAAACTTGAGGGTAGAGCCAGGTGGGCCTGTGTCATTGGTGACACACCTGCTGCCCGAAGTGCGTGTCTTCAGAGAGCTTGTGAAAAATGCAGTTTGAAAACCTGCGCGTGGGTTTCAAAGATGTTTGCTCCCAGACAGCTCAGCTCTTCATCCTCATCACTCGCGGGCTTTGGAAGCCCCTCTGTGTGTCGCCTGCTGCCCACCCGCTCTCCTTTTTGTATTGGTTTCTGCCAGGAAAGCAGACGGAGGCCAATGCTGGCCAGCCTGGTGGCCTCAGGGCCCTCAGCTGTGCCCTGCAGCCCAGTCTCTGGCTTTTACAATTCACCACTGTGTCCCCACCTTCCAGAATGTAGCAGGTGCTGCCCCAGAGGTGACACAGGGCCTGGCCGGGGAAGTGGAAGCGAAAATCCGTGCAGCGAAGGTACATGTCAGTTTCTCATAGCAGGCACCTGGCCCGGCTGGGAGAGGCCAGGGTCCTGGAGCTCTTCCTGGGGGCGGCTTCGGGGTTCGCCGCTTGGGTCTGCTCTGCTCTGCTCCCTAAGCGACCATCGTGGGTACCCTTGTCCCTTCCCAAGCACCTTCCCCACCGCCCCGCCTCCGTGTGTTCCTGCAGGGTCTTGGGGAGAGTCCTGCACGCCTGTGACTGCCTCTCAGGAGTCCCTCCTGACCTTCCTCCCGGGGAGCTCACGCTCCCTCCCTCTGACCTGAAATGTCCCCAGATGTGTCATCTCCCACTTGCTGCCTTAAAAAAAAGGCCACAGGCCTAGTGACTTAAACAGCACAGCTTTGTTCTCCCTCCTTGCAGTGCGAAGAATAAGGAGTCTGAACTTAGTGTGCTGGCAGGGCTACACCCCCAACCCGGCATCTGTAGCTTCAGCTCCTCCCGCCTCTCCGTGCTGCCATTGTATCGTGGCTCGTGACCCTTGTCTTGGCTCACTACAATCTCTTGCATCTGTGACACATCTGCTCTTAACCCTTCCTGACCTCCTGCCTCCATCTGATAAACAGCCTTCCGATTACATCGGGCCCACCTGGATAATCCGGGATAATCTCCCCACCTCTTGAGCCTGGACTTAATCCCATCTGTAAAGTCTCCTTTACCACCGTAGAAGGGAACATTGACAGGTTCCGGGGATTAGGACCTTGACATTCAGCCGTGCACACCAGGAGACTCCCAAGTCTTGGGCACCACCTGTCCTGCAGGCGATGGTGGCTGCTGGCCGAGTGCCATCACTCAGTGTGGTGCTCATTTTGAGAGGTGCGCCTGGGAGTACGTGGGTGCTCGGACCCATGTTCAAATCCTGACCCAGTTGTTGGCACTCACACAGCACGGGTTCAGTAGATTATCTTTGTGCTTCTGTGTCCTCATCCCACATGATGGAGGCAGTGATCCGATTTGGCAGGGCACATGGAAGCGAAAGCATCAGGCACTGTGGCTGGCAAACACTGAGGTGCTCAATAAGTGACAGCTATACTTGGGGAATTTCTGTTCTTTGGCTTGCCCACTGGGTGGCGTCTTCCTGAGTACCTATCAAAAATAAAGGAATGACGTGTGGAAGGGCTGTGCCCTAGTCTCCCAAATTCCCAAACCCACGGGTGCAAGTTTGGAGAGGGCAGGTGAGAGGGACACCCGAGGGCAACACTCCTGCGTCCCCTTCTGCCTGTCCCCTGTGCGTCCCCAGCGTCGATCCCCGCAACTGAACAGACCTCACTCGGATCTGGAATTGGCCGGCCCCCCTGGACCAGGGCGAGCACCTCTCGAGTGGAATCCCAGGGAAGCCCCTCGGCTTCCTCGCTGGTGGGCGGGAAGTGACTCTGGTGAGGGTGCTGTGGCCGTGGCATTAATGCCGAGGGGACATCTCCAGCTGGAGCAAAGACCAGAGGGCTGCCGCCCTGGGGGGTACCTGGGCTTATCTCCTGCAGGGGGCGCTCACAGCCGTGTGCCAGGACTGCAGTCATTTTCCCTAAGTTACCTTTGTCCCATCATCAGGAGGTTGCACGCAGTCCACATTTTACCTGCAGGGAGAACTTTTATCTGAGTTCACATGATTCAGAAGCAGGTCTGGCATCTGTCCAGCATCTACGCTGGCCATCCCGTGACACAGCAGTATCTGAATTTCTTACTAATTCATGGATCTCCATTGTACTGTAACAAAGGAAAAACTAGACTGCCCTATCAGAGATGGTGAGTGGGGGGCAGTGATAGTTGTTTATTCTCACCTTCTGCCTTCGAAGAAACAAAAGAATGTCATGTTCACTCACCTTTGTGAAATAACCCTTTATACCCTTGAAAACCTTCACTAAGTAGCCTTTCCCCTTTCTCTCCCTTGGGTTTATTTCCTGCTTTCTTTGTTGCATTTGCTTCAAATAACAAAGATTTGCTGAAGGTGGTCGTGGGCTGGGCCACTGGAGGACACAAGACATGGGAGGGCAGGTTTGTGTGGCAGGAAGTTGGGGCACCTGCGTCTGCCCGGGATTAGGTCCTGTCTTCGCCTCCGCTTCTCATCCTGTTTCCTGCACAAGTGCCTGATGGCAGCAGCTGAAGGGCCGAAGTACTCGGGTCCCTGCTATGCACGTGGGAGAGGCAGTTGGAATTCCTGGCTCCCGGTTTCATCCTGGCTCACCCTTGGCTGCTGAGGATATCTGGGGAGTAAACCGGGAAACGGAAGCTTTCTATGTCTTCTGCCGCTGCACTCTGCTTGTCACTGCCAAGTGCAGCCCCAGGCTGGGTGTCTCTAGCCCTGGCATCCGCTTCTTGCCCACATATTCTGATTCTCAGCTTCTACAAGGAAGGGTGGGTGTGGAGGTGAATGCTGCCTGTTGGATAACCAGCAGGAAGAGCTGTGGGTGTTTGTGAGAAGAGCTTTGTGGGAGCTGATGCTGGTGGGGAAGGAGATAGGGGACACTGACCGTGGCCTCTGCTTCCATCCCCAGCCTGCTTGCTGCCTCTGGCTGGTGGGGCACAGCGCAGCACCCCCAAGACGAGTGAGATTCCTAGGGTGCTACCCAGCGCCAGCTTCCCAGGCAGTGACTTCAGCACGGCTGAGACCCAGGGTGCACGGCCAGCACAAGCATGGAATAGTTTCGCTTGTGAGCGAGAGGGCGCGTGGGCCTGTGGGACAGCAGGCTCCCTGCACAGACTCCTTTAGGGTTTGGGAATTGAGGAACAGAGAACCATGGGCACTGAAGCTACTGTTTGAAAGGTAAAGAAAAGGAAAAAATAATAATAAAGGCAATGGCTGCTACTCAGGGTGTAGAATCCTAGGCTGGTGCTCAAGGAAGAGGGCATATAAAAATTCGGAAGAAGGGAGCGTGTGTCCGGCACACTTTTCCTGGGGAGCAGAGAGGCGCGAACGGGGGCAGAGTTGGTGGCTCCCTTCCTGTAGGTCGCTCTTTCCTGTAATTCTGTTCTGCGACTGCCCCTTGACCCAGTAGGCTCTTCAGGATCTGGGCCCTTGAAGAGGGTGGGGGGCCCACCTACATGTCACCTCTACTGCTCCATGTCACACTCACACTTCTTTTTTAAAAGATTGATTTATGTATGTATTGGAAAGGCAGAGAGTGGCAGAGAGAGAGAGAGAGATCGATCGATCAATCAATTGATCGATGTTCCACCTGCCGGTTCACTCCCCAGACACCTTCAATAGCCAGGCTGGGCCAGTCTGAAGCCAGGAGTAGGGAAACTCCCTCCCAGTCTCCCTTGTGGGCGGCAGGAACCCAAGTACTTGAGCTGCCTCCCAGGTGTGCTTGCGGGAGCTGGGTCGAAAGCAGAATAGCTGGGACTCGAAGCAGGGATGCAGTGTGCGAGCTGCGGCTTAACCTGCTGCCCCATGCGCCCTCCTGTCCCCCAGGAGAAACTGACCTCGGTTCAGTGAGGTACTGGAGCAGTCTGGCCAGTTCTGACCATAGAACTTGACCACAAGCTCATCTTGCTGCCTCGAGAAAGCAGAAAAAGAGATTCCATGACTTCATGCACTCTCCTGGCAGAAATGCGAGTTTCCCTTTGACCCCGGATCGCCGGCTTCCCAGCCCCAACCCTGGAGGGACAGGAAGCCTTCCTTGACGCACAGCGGTTGATGTTTAAGGCACGTCCCCACCATCACCATGTGCTGATTCTTTGGTGCAACCGTTCCAGGAGCCGTCTCAACGTTCTCTGCTGTCAGCACCTGCAGGTTGCTGGGAGCGGTGCCTGGGTGGAATCTCTCCTGCCTGCCCTGTCGTGAGGCACTCACACATGGAAGACTGGCGCATGCCCCAGAGAAGACTTCAGCCTCGCACTTGACACGCGCCTCCTGTGCTCGGTTGCTAGGCAGCCAGGTTATCTCTGGTCGGTCAGCAGATGCAGACCACAGGCTGCAGCTCCTGTTGGAGCATTCTAGCTGTGAGCTCCCAGGGGTTTGGAACTTGAACTCTGCCGACTGGCAGTCAGCTCTGATCATCACCTGCATCCTGAGTCCCCCCCCCCCCCCAACCTTGGAAGCATGGGTCTACCTTATAAGAGTGCGAAGAGCAATCTAGATCAAAGAGGTGATAATAGACTTGAGCTCAAAAAAAAAAAAAAAAAAGAACCCCTTTTTATAAAAATAAGTCACATAACAATCTTGTCTGAGCACAATGCAATCAAGCTGGAAATCAACAAGAAAAACTGGAAGTTACACAAATACATATGAATTAAACAACTCCTGAACAACCAATGGATCGAGGAAGAAATGAAGAAACAAATTGAAAATGTTCTTGACTGACAATGGAAACACTACGGAAACCTATGAGACGGAGTAAATGCTACCAGTTACAATAAGTGCCCAGATTGGGGATGGGTGTTGGGCACGTTGGTTAAGATGCCGCGTGAGACATCCCATATTGGAATGCCTGGGTTCAAGTCCCAGCTCTGCTTGCAATGCTAGCTTCCTGTGGAAGAGCAGCCTGATAGGCTGCAGGTAACGACCCAGTGTCTGGTTCCCACCACCCATGTGGGAGACCTAGATGGACTTCTTAGCTCTTAGCTCCAGCCTGACCCAGTCTCAGCTGTTGTGGGCATTTGGCCAATGAATCAGTGTATGGAAGATTCATAGGCTCTTCTTTCTTCTCTCCTCTGCTCTCTCCTCCCCTCCCCTCCCCTCCCCTTTTAAAAAGAAATAAAAATTTTATGAAGTATTTATATCAAAAAAGGAGAGCTCCCAAATAAACAACTATCATTGCACCAAAGGGACTAGAAAAGCAAGACCAAACCAGACCCCAAATTAGTAGGAGGAAAGATTAAAGTGAGAAATAAGTGAGAGAGAGCCTAAAACAGAAAGACAACCTCAAGGGCAAAGAGTCTTCTAATTCCCAGAGGTCTGAGCAGATTGACACCTAACTTCTCTGTATTCTGAAGTCCTTCGAGAGGCGTCTGACTGTGTTACTTTGTGTCTCCCTGTCCTCACTCCCACCTCACTGACCTCTTTGCATCCCAGGTTCAGTCTTTTGCTATAAACTGTCAGGTATTAAAAAGTCTCTACAGCAAGCCATGTGTCATGCTGAGGGAAACCAAAGTGCTGACCAGTATAAGATGACCCCTGCCTTTAAAGAACTTAGGATTATAATTGGAGGTTCAGCACAGAATGTTCTAGAACAGAAGTTTCCAAACATTCTCCATCCATGGTGACTTTGGTGTCTAGGTAATTATTTTTCATAGTGTTTCCATGCCAAAAGATGCAGCAATTCCATTTAGTAAGTCATTGTGTCAAACAACATAAGTGTTTGTGTCCTAACCACTTAGCAAGTGCTATTGAGGGGGGAAAAACCCATAAAATGGAAGAGTAAAAATATTTTTATTTCATTTTTTTAAAGATTTATTTTATTTATTTGAAAGAGTTACAGAGAGAGGTCGAGACAGAGAGAGAGGTCTTCCATCTGCTGGTTCACTCCCCAGATGGCTACAATAGCTGGAGCTGTGCCAATCTGAAGCCAGGAGCCAGGAGCTTCTTCCAGGTCTCCCACCTGGGTGCAGGGACCTAAGGACTTGCTCCATCTTCCACTGCTATCCCAGGCCATAGCAGAGAGCTGAATTTGAAGAGGAGCAGCTGGGACTAGAACCAGTGCCCATATGGGATGCCAGTGCTTCAGGCCAGCGCGTTAACCTGCTGCGCCACAGCGCCAGTCCCTTATTTCATTCTTAATCACAGTGGCTTAAAAGTGATACCTGTGCTTTGTGGGCACGGCGCAACCTGGTGCATTGCACTCCCTCAAGTTCATAGTTCCGGGGGTGCCCGGTAGATGTGGAGTTTCATATTTCCTCAAAAATGTAAGACACGGTCATGCACCGCTTCATGACCGGGACGCATCTGGAGAAACGCAGCATCGATCAGTCAGAGGGGGCGGTCAGTCCCTCCCCAGAGCCTCTGGATGCAATCCGAGGTGGATGAGACTACAGCTGGCGTCGCAGCAGGAATCTGTTTTTGTAAATAGATGGGTTTCCTTTTTTTAAATTTTTTTTTTTATTTTTTGACAGGCAGAGTGGACAGTGAGAGAGAGAGACGGAGAGAAAGGTCTTCCTTTGCTGTTGGTTCACCCTCCAATGGCTGCCACAGCCGGCGCGCTGCAGCCGGCGTACCGCGCTGATCCGATGGCAGGAGCCAGGTGCTTCTCCTGGTCTCCCATGGGGTGCAGGGCCCAAGCACTTGGGCCATCCTCCACTGCACTCCCTGGCCACAGCAGAGAGCTGGCCTGGAAGAGGGGCAACCGGGACAGAATCCAGCGCCCCGACCGGGACTAGAACCCGGTATGCCGGTGCCGCAAGGTTGAGGATTAGCCTATTGAGCCGCGGCGCCGGCCTCCTTTTTAAAGATTTATTTATTTGAGAGTCAGAGTTGCAGAGAGGGAGAGCAGAGAGAGAGAGTTCCATCTTCAGAAGGATGGACCAGTGCCTCAGTAATCCAGGAGCGGGTCGGTCTTTATTTTCATGATCAAGGGCCGTGTACCATACATAATCATATGCATTAACACTTTCAAATGACTGGCAGTGCAGTAGACCTGTTCACACCAGCCTCTCTCTCTCTCTCTCTCTCTCTCTCTCTCACACACACACACACACACACACACGTGACTAATAACATGTTGTGCTATGACATCACCACGTCCTCAGGCCAGAGGAATTTTCAACTCCATCATTGTCTTTCGGGGCCACCATTGTATATATGTGGTCTCTCGTTGACCAAAACATCGTTAGGCAGGGCCAGCCTGTACCCAGTGCCCCGTGGGTTCTCTGTGAGACCCCTGGAGACCTTGGGTGCCCAGGCAGCGGGATCAGAAGCCGTGGTCCTGAAATCCAGCAACTAGCGGCAGGGAAAACAAGGACTGGAGATGGGGGCACTCCCCTTCCCACCTCCTCCCCAGTAGGCCCTTAGCAACTGCTCGTGGGACTGAATGAACGGTCACATGAAAATCGCATTCAAGATGTGGCTGCTTTGCATTGCATTCCGCTCTGCAGTCAGGGTGAGCGTGGATTCCTGGAGCCACCGTGGCTGGGAATCCTGACCCCACTGCTTGCTAGGGTGTGAATCCGGGCATGGACTGTTGAGGGTTGGCTGCTTCGGGGGATTGCAAGGATTCGGTGAAATGCATCGCACAGTGCTGGGTGGTGGTCAGTGGTCTGATCCATAGGGGTGAGTTGTTTGCCTTGCTCTTACTCTACTGGCGACATTTTGACTCAGTGTGATGGAGCAAGACAGACCTTTCTCGGGGGGAGGTGTTAATGAGAAGAGGGTGAGGACTAGGCTGGAAAAGGGAGGTGCTGCCCCAGTGGGGAGTAGAGCAAACCACACCTGGTCCTCCCTCCTCCTCGTTCCTGGCACACCTTCAGGGCACCCACGATGTCCGGAACACCTGGACGCCTCTCCAGAAGCTAGACCCAAGTCCAGAGCAAGTGTGATGTGTGACTGACTGTCCAGGAGCCCAGCCAGCTGTGTCCGGGACTTCGTGGGCATTCCTTCCACACGGACGCATCCTCAGATGTACAGGGAGCTGATAGAGCCTTGCTGGGACTCGGTTCCCAGGCGCTGCAGCCTTGCCTGTCACTCAGCCTCTTCTAGGGCCTCAGTATCTGACGGAAGAGAAAGTAGCAAAGCTTCGCTCCCGGCCCAGTTCCTCCTGGGGGAAGTGGCGCTGCTGCCACCTGCCATCTCTGAGCAGGCTGTGGGCTCTGCAGTCTTTGAGAGAGCATTGCCAGGGCCATCGCAGACCCAGGTGCACCCAGAGTTCCGTGAGTTCCTGCCAAAGAGGTTTTCCCCTTTAAAAATCATTTGCATTGTCTGCAAATTGTTGCAAAAGGAACTGAAATGCAGGGGCTCCGGTAGCCAGTGCCTGGGCTGTGTGACCGGGCTCTGGCCCTGGATGGAGCCTGCGGAAATCTTCACCTCTTTCAGCACAGTGGAAAATGAAGGACAGGGCTTCCCGAGCTCAGGAGGGGGCTTGGCTCTCTGGGTTCAGGTGCACTGCGAATGCTCCTCCCACCCAAGCTGTCACCCCCAGCGCAGCGAGGATGGCAGGACAGACCTGTCAGACCCTCAGCTGCAGCCAAGGGCGGCGTTTTGTCCTGTGGAGAGCGTGGCTGCACACACAGCTGGCTAAGCTCATGTTATTTAGCGGGAGCCGCCGATAAGGCGCTCAACCTGGCACTCTCCCACGTGTGCTCACCCCGGGCAGCTAGTAATGCCAACTGGGGTCTCTGCAGGGGGCGTGTGTGGCTTAGAGTGAACTTGACATCCCCTGGGTGCTCCTGGCAGAGTCCCTTCTCGCCCAGGGAAGACCAGCGTTCTGTTTGCATTCTTGGGAGTATCTCGTGTTCAGCCCCGGGATGCCTGGAGGACAGCACTGCCTGAGGCTGGCTGCTTGTATTTGCTACTGTATCTAGGGATGACATCCTTCTTGTGATAGGCTCCTTCCTGCTGGTGGGCTTCCACCTGGAGAAGTGAGGGGATCTTCCAATGTTTAAGAAGATGAATGTTACCGGGGATGGGGGGCTATGCAACATTTTTCAAAGGCTTTTTAATCAAAATGAACTTATCTTTTAATTCCATTTTTTCCACAAACTTTTTGAAATCTCCTCGTGCTACTCATTTCGTCCTCTCCGTAGTTTGTCGGCAGGGCCAGATCCATCAGCTCCGTTTCAGAGACGGCTTTTACGCAGAGCCAACCAGGGACTTGCTTAGGTTCTGAATCTGCCTTCCCCACCCCGGGCTGTGGTGCGCTCACCTAGGGCCACTGGGTGTTGAATTCCTGCTCAGCTTTTATGCGAAAATCTGGTAGTGACTGGAGCAGGTGTTTACAAGCCACTCTCACGCTTCGGGCCAGCACCTCTGTCATTTAGGCGTCCTGGGAGCAGGTGCTATTGTTCCAATTATATAGACAAGGAAACTGGGTTGCTTTCGTGTAAGATGGCTTGGGTCCCTCGGCTGGCCAAGTGCCTGATTCAGCGCTGCAATCTGTGCACATCTCCCAGCCCCCTTCCCTTTCCCGTCGATCCTGCTGGATTTCGGGCACTCAACAGTTCCTCTGTGCACAAAGCGATGTTTTCAGAAAGGGCTCCGGAGGGCTCAGGAACCTGTTGTACTCGAGATGCATTCAACAGGAACTACCTGGCTGATGCTGGCAGCATAGAATTTTTATAGGGAGGCTGGGCAAGTAGGCTTGGGGAAGGAAGAGGGGCTTGGCAGCTGGATTGTGCCAGGGAACCCACTGCCGGGTGGGTGGACTCAGGTGCTTGCCTAGGTACTGGCACTGAGAGACGGAAGGCACTGCCGGCGGCATCATAGTCACCGCGGGTCTCCACCTTCCTCCGTGCGCGCCAGGCCCATGGTGTCCCGGGCTGCCTAAGCCAGGTAGATGCTGGAAAAGCATACTTGGCTGTGCCTGAGCAGAGCAGCTGGACCTCACCAGGCAAGGAGGTTCTGGGGCGAGCTGCTGCCCCCCCCAACTGCCCGACTGTCGTGGCATGGGTAACCTGTTGGTTTCTGACCGCGACCCCGTCCTGCCACCCCCAGCCTCGTCACCAACCCGGCCTACTCTGTGAGGGGGTGGGGGCAGGGAGGCAGCATCTGTTGTGGGCGACGCCCTGGCTCTGGTTTGCCTCCGGTGGAGGGAGGGGCTCCCGGCTGCTGTTTGGCCAGACTGCTGGTCGA